TTCAACTCTTCATGTATTGATAACTATGTCGATTGAAGACCAGCTTTTCATGGTCGACAAGGTCAGCTAAGACCTGTATTTCTATCGCAGATAGCGTTTCTCGAGCCACGAAGCCCCCACGAAGAAGGCTTGTCATCGTGTGTCCTTGATGCGGACACCTTTAATGAACCATATTTCGAACTTGAATAATCAAAAGGAAGCTTTTTCGCAGCGAATGCTAAACTACTGCAAAACGCTATTCCGGAATAATGGAACAGTGAAATAGTTGATATCCGCGGAATCGCATTTGTCGATATGTTCTGGCCGAATCGAATTTAACACGTTGACGACGAGCCATTTTCATGACTTGCGCGTGGGACGGCACATTTTTCTACATTGAAACTTAGTAATTTCCAAATAAATGAATTACTACGACCAAAATGTATCGAGAAATGCAGACGAGTATAGCAATCTCGAATCTTTGACACAATTTAGCTCTTATTGCTCCAATCTTCCAAAATCAGGCCATTTTTTACCAAATTCTTCCTCTGGAGACAGAATTGACTGAAATTTGTCTCCCGGGGTGGTTTGATCTCCTAAAGAACAATATCGCATCCCTCGACCCGAAAATGTTTGTTCTTGAACTAATTTTATGAAAAGAAAGTGAAACAATCGCGCAGATCTTGAGTTATATAATAACTGTGGGACAGCATTGGGCGACGCCGTTCCACAAGACAGACTTTCTGTCTTCCACCATTGACGGACATCGCGGCGTTAAATGGGACATGATAATTTTGTTTAGGAGGTCGCTTTACCGGTAGGGACAAGTTTTCAAGGAATTTGATGATCTAGGAGATTTTAACGCGGCGCCAGGCAGTTTTGTGCAACGATAGTGATAGTCCGAGTGTGTTCGTGGGTCAAGCTGCCCCAGTGGGCAAGTTTTCAGCGAGTTTGATGACTATTTAATAGCCGGCGTCTGCGGCGCGGGCGTCGGGCAATCCGAAACCACTTAGCTGTTCGTATTCACAGCAGAAAGTTCAGCCCTACTCCTATAAAGACATCTTTGTGAAGCAAACTTGTGTGGCTCGCGGTCGAGTGCGCGCGGGCGCCGCCGCCCGTTATTATTAGAGTCTGTGGATGCTGTTCCGGACAGCATTGTCCGGAGCACCGTCCATGAGACAGCTGGCTGCCGCCCACCATTTGTCCAGACACTCCGTCAACGTGTTTAATCGTTCTTAGTTCGTAACTCGGGAAGCCTGTAGGAGTGCTTCAGGCATCAGCTGCTTGCAAATTATGTAAATCATGCCAACTTTAGAAAGAAATGGGCAGGTCTACCCTAACGCTCTCCAACAAATCCTAGACAGTTTCCCTACGCGAACACCTCCATCCAGCTAAATCGTGTCACCCAGTGGCGAAGTTTCCCGGGGTTCGCTGTTTAAGTCCACACCCCAAGAAACAGTTTCATTCTATTGTAGAAACGCTATAAAACGCAATCAATCGGAAAAAATTTGCCAGAGTGTCACAGTTTTGCTCCGGGTGACTGCGCAGGTATAAACTGTTTTCCGATATTTCATGTGGCAAGAGTATGACCTGGTTTCCATATTCATTGTGCTCAAAGAGTTGATATTGTCGCAAGCGAAGTCTTGAAAGGGTTGGGATAGCCACTTGCGGCGTTTCTGAGAAAAAACGAGCTTACTCACATTTTGTGGCTTCTCCAGATGCTCCTCTCCCCCACGTTTGAACTTGCCCCGCAGTTCTGACAGCGGATGATTTCGCTTGGCTGTCCGACGATTCAACACATTCAGGGCTGCTTGCAAGCTGGATGTTTCGCAGCAGTGACGGCGTCTTTCTACTTTTTCTTCGCGATGGCCACAACAAAATGGGCAATGTTTGTCACAACAACTTTGGCCTGGGAATTATCGCACGCTGTAGATGGGTATGTTCGGAAATGAGTGATTTCCTGTTGAAAAAACAACTTGCCAAATTATTTGTATTTAATTTAGGCTCATCTTAATTGTTTTCCACGACAGATTCCGTGTGCTGCTTCGTCAGCCATCATTACTCTGGCGAAAAGAATTTTCACCAGTCAAGTCGTCAACGTTTCCGTTTTGAGGTAATGTCGCAATAGAACATTTCAATTCATCACTTCACAGCCCGAAAAAAAGAAATTACACCAAAAAATGGACGGCAGTCTTCATTCGGGCTCTCGGGGACTGCGAGTGGTGCAAAGGACCGTTTTTGCCATCCGAACGTCCATGAGCAGCGACCATATATAAAAGAAAGAGAGATTAAGCTTTCCTGCATTGACATGCCCTGTTCTCATGGATTACCCATTCGGACACCATTGAGAATGATGGACATTTCACACCACCAATTTCGTCTCCAGGAAAATTTTCAGGAGTTACATTAGCATTTTAGGTATATTTTTGGTAAGAACCTTGGAAGTTGTGAGATAGTGGGTGCGAAGAGCATGGGGTTATTTGGACACGTAGGTCTACACTTTCTTGGGCACTCACTGGTGAAGTCGCTATTTCGAAGAGCATATCATTGCATTGGTGACAGTTTTTTTGAATACGCATCCCACAAGTTCTTCCTTTGATATGAACTCTTTTACCGCATGTGTTTCTTCTTGAAAAATTTCCTAAAACTTGCGAAAAAGGGAAAAGTCATTGACTGGAAAAAGCGGCCCTCTCTCCCAACAACCTAACACGATCCCCGTCGTGATTTTCACGACGGCGATTCCGAATCCTTGTGGGACTACAGGGGATTGAGAATTGCCTAAACCTTCAAGTTACAAGACACCATTGGTTATATAGTGACCTCCTGGTGAACTCAATTACAAGTCTTGGAAAAATATCTTGCACACTGTATAGCTTATTGTTGACATCATTTAGGTCTTCAAAAGTTTGGAAGTGATGATTCCGTCTCATGGTACCTGCACCTCTTCCAAATGTCTACGACAAATTAAGTAATTCCCGATACTAAAAAGCAGTGAATCGTGGGATTGTGATTTTGTCGTTCAATAAGTCTGCATGATCTCCTTATTTCTTTTGCCCGTGTAATTTCGTCACTCTACTACTCCGTTGGATATTACATTACAAATCACAATAGTTATTGTACCACGGACAGAAGTCTTGATCTCAGCCACCAATACTTGCACACTTGCCTTGTTCACCGATCCGCGGTTTGTATGGCAGAAAAATAAACGTGAGCTGGAAAAAACCAAGGGAAGCAAAGGGAAATTATGCTGCTGGTTCTCTGATGTTGTGTTGTGTCACCGAAGTCTCTATGTTCAAAAAGGTAAGGGCAACTCGACGTCTGGAATAGCAAGACCAAGTTAGAGCTTCCTCATTTCGCGGAGAAAGCCTTGTCTTCTAACTTCGCCTATTTTACTTTATTGTACACTTTACAGAGCGAAAATTGGCGCTCTTCTTCGAAAGTAGCTCTACATCGCAAATCAGTACACTTACAGAGCTATGTAAAAATACACTTTTTCATAAAAATAAGACGAATAAGCATAGGAGAGCACATTTATTATCATAAAAATGAATACTCACGCCAGACAAGCAGATAGATCACAGAGTGCTTGTTTTGATAAAAACATTAAAGGTTCATGTGGAACGAAAAACAAAACAAAAGAAAGAAGAGTGAAGTGCAGGAGTGTGTTCAAGGAGTGAAGTGTAAAATAATTCCACCTTAAAAAAGATTAGAAATTAATCTCCATGTCCGCCTTTCATCTAACCTGCATTCATGCATTCAATAGTTTCTTACCTATGTCGAACAGGATGGTGTTATTCCCTATTATACCTAGAGCCTTGCAATATCGTCATTTTGAAATGCCTGAAGCATATCAGAACTTGCGAAATAGTATCTATCGTGTAAACACCTAACCAAGCAGACGCAGCCAAAGGGACTACAAAGAGAA